TGTGTGTGTGTGTGTGTGTGTGTGTGTGTGTGTGTGTGTGAGAGAGAGAGAGAGAGAGAGAGAGTCTTGATCATTGATCTGGCTTCTTCTTTTATACTTGCCTGGGATACTCGCACGGAAGCGTGCACGATGAAATTCGCCGGGGAATGTTATACCAAGCGCGGTCTCGCTGGAAATTGTGTTTCGCTGTTTGTTCTTCCGTCCGTTCGGGAGCTGACATTAATTTAACCTCGTACGAGGTATGTCTAAAAAGTTCCGCCAACGCGAGCGCGAAACAAAGACAGATGACGTTTGCAGAACTGAATTCTTACCTCACTGTAACATTTCATCGCGTATGGTACTTAGAAAGAGAAATAATACAAGTGTCAAATAAAAGTACCTCTTTGCAGGCTGATGAATATCAAACGAATTTAAATCTTGTAAGCATGTAGATACTTAAAATAATTTTACGAATTCTACATCATTAATTTATATATTATAAAATAATAAAAAAATGTATAGATTATACTCACTCCGATTAATCGAATTAAATTAATAGATTCTAAACATAATTTTTCTTATATTATTAATTTATATGTTATAGACTAAAATGAAAGAATTTATATGTTATAGAATAATAAGAAAAAAGAGGGTAGACAGATTTTTTTAAAGATAAAGTTCAATTTATAATTTCAATAATATCAAGTTTTAAAACTAAAAAGTCTCTCAATACATACTATAATTTTTCAGAATTCCTAAACTTTAGAATATTATTCTATAATTGTTCAAACTTGTTTAGAGGTTTTATACTGCGCGTCTTCTTGTGATGATACTCATGAAGAGTAAAAAGATTGAAAATGAGATGGCAGAATCGGAAATTGTGGGTTTCGAGGTTCGACAATAGTCCCACCGGTGAGAACTGGCAATTTCTCAGTTCGGCGAACTGCCATGGAAAATTGAGGAACTATTTTCACGCGTGGTACCGTCACCCCCATCGCGCACCAATGGTAGCACAATACACCTCTGTCGATTCGTTTCGACTGTGCAGGATGTATCGGCGCGATAGCCTCGCTCTGCCACTATTGGCAGGACATTTCGACGATTTTTTTTGTATCGGATGAAATATGGACTCGATACTTTGTAGGACATACGTGAGTTTAATGACTTCGCTGAGAGTGAGAAGTAATTTTCTGCCGATTTTCCATCAGACCTTTAGGAGTGCTCGAAGGATATCTATCGCACCTACTAAATAACTTTGTGGAACGGTACTCGTAGCGTTGATAAGTCGACGAGTTTAATCCCGATACTTCGAACGAAGGAACACGTTCTCGTGTTGAAACAAGACTAGTGTAGCTTGGATAGCTATCCAGAACATGGTAGCAATTTTTGAAAAATTACACATTTGATCGTCCATCGGTTTTTAACTTCGACTGTTATGTGTATCCAATCGGATACACGCCTATGTGGATTCAGGGCGTCGCCGTATCAATTTAGCGTTAATTTAACACACATTTCCTACCTATTACCATCTATATGAATCGAGAACACTTTGCATTGATTTTATGGTCAATTGTGGATTCTATTAGAGAGGTCTATTAACTTTGTCGAAGAATTTTATTAAAAACATTTTATTGGATAATATGTTTTAATATAAAAAATTTACTTTAAATTATATGAAAAATAATAGTATGGTGACAAGGGACCGATTACAAAAATCCGTGCAATAATCAAAGTGTTAAAATAGATTATCATATCATCTTTAAAAATAGATTATACTTGTATCTAACATATTTATAGTTATATATATTTAAAAAATGTTTAACTCTCGCATTGAAAAAATCCCTGGCTTTAAATATTCAGGAAGGATTTCTATAATTTAAAGTTAATAAATTAATGCCATACTTTATATGTTCTTGGTATACGTTTCATTAATAATTATAACAGAATACTTTTTTACGAGTTGTTCCGAAATGTTAGATCGTAGTCTCTACCCTGATAGTGATGCTATCGTGTCGTTTTGCAACAGACCGTATATACGCGACGTATATATATGCGCGTCACGACATTTGGCAATTACCTCGGCATGTATGAGCACTCGATACGCGCTGTATGACGTCGCCGGTGTGCCCGAGCGAATACTCGTTCGGAGGACAAGCCATAAACGGTATAAGCGGCAACGAGCGGTGCACTAAAACGCGTCCCGAGACGCGTTTCGACTGTTGAACATCTAATGCATCGGGAGTTGTCGAGCAGGATCGAGACGGACTCCGGAGGGTTCGTGTATACTTTAACGTATTAGAAGGTTTCCCACTTTACGGATATTGACATATGTAACTTAATAATAAATCGAATAACATGAGATATCGTTTTTATTTTATTTTATTTTTCTATTTTGCACGACACTAGGAAGCGTCAGAGAGAGAATAACAGGAAAAAGTGTGAAGGGCGAGGACAGCTCACGTTGCCGGAATGAAACCCGGAGGACAACTCCATCCCTCTTTTCAAGTGCCTTGCAGTGTGCCTGAGCTTGTTTAGCTAGCATGCCACTGCATCGCCCTGCGGGGGCGGCAAATACACGCATCGGCGCATATTTCGCGGAAACGCTTTGGCGCTTTCGTGCGTTGCCGTCGAGCATGTATATATTAACGAACGATACCATCGCCGTGTAATATTTGCTTCGGGCTTTCTCGTTTCCCCATTATCGCCGTCGAGTCCGTCGACGTAGTAGCAGGGGCTGTCGCTTTCGATCGCTTTCGACGATTGTGATTTGCGCTATCGCTAACGCCGCCGACTGTTACTCGCGCGTAACCAGCGATCAATTTATCTGTTATTTTCCTGCTCGATAGTCCGCAAACTAATTCCAGCAGAACGAATAAAGTATTGCACACTTCTCGATCTTCAATCGCTTCATTTTCTCTCGGTGTAGGGGAGACCGGGGCTAATAGACTTATTTTTTAGTTTCGAATTTTTACAAACGAAATTAAGAGACTTATCGGAAAAATGAATTCTACGCCAGTTGTTACATACGTTTGACTACCTAATAATATTTTAATAATAAGGGGAAACTGATAACTAATACGAAAAAAGTTACATTTTTCTAATGTCCTGAGACTGACCGGGGTAATTTAACTAAGATTATTAAAATAAAGATTAACGTATTTTAAGCTACACTCTTTGGCTACATATTAATAAAAATATATTTTAAACATTCGCTTCGCAGGGCAAAACAATGCTTCTTTTTGCAAAATTTGTTCATTTCGTGCAAAAACACATCGAATGAGCCTAGTTTTCGAGATTGGACATGAGGTAATTACCTCTGAGGAAAATGTATTTAAAAGAATAAAATTTTGAGTAAGTACTATAAGAGTCGTCACTAAATGAGTCATACAGTTCCATGCTATGGTTGGTCTACTATCCCCATCCGTTCATTTTTTAAAAATATTAACATTATACGATAACAAAGACACATAAACAAAAAAAATCTGTCGGACTTTATTAAGTAAGAACTACACTTACTATCTAAATAGAAATAAAACATCTCAGACCATCATATACGATTGTAAAACAAAAACTTTAAAAATAAAAATATTTACTTAGGTGTACGATTTTTTAAAATTGTGACGTAACTTCTATCATAGATGTGTTCGCAACAAGATGTTACAGCAGACTGAGCGGCAGTCGCTGCTGCGTACTTAGACATGTTTATGCGTGTCTCGCGTGTTTTGTTTTTAATGTAGCTTCGATTATTCTACTTACCCCTATAGTCAACTAACCTCGGTTTTTATTCTCCCCTATATACTGAATCTACATTGCCGTCGTCCTAAGGAATTAATAAACGCGAGCAGAGATGTCTGTGAAGCTAGCACCGCCATTTTGAAAAACAAAAAATCAAAATTGTGCTAGATTGTGTTAGGCTTGTGCTACGTTGTGCCGCAAATCGCACTTCGATATCTCAAAAAATGAAGTGAAAATTGAAAAAATACCGTTTTTAAGGTCCAACACCGCCATTTTGTCAGAACAAAAAAATCAAAGTTGTGCTAGATTGTGCTAGACTTGTACTAATTTGTGCCGCAAATATCATAGTTCGATGACGCAATTAGTTTATTAGAAAATTGCAAATCAAGAAATAGTCGCAGCACCGCCATTTTGAAATACAAAAAAAAAATCAAAATTGTGCTAGATTATGCTAGACTTGTGCCTAGCAAACATGAGCAGAGATATAAATTTGCGATGACACTCGACGCGCTGGTGCAGGTAAATGAAAGTTATAGAATGCAGGTAGAACGGGACGTCGCAGAAGAGCGAAAGGGCTAGACGGAACGGTTTCGTTCTGTTGAAATTATGTCCTTCCGCTCGTGCGGAATCTCGCCACCTCGGGATAGCTTGGTAGCAGGCGCGATTTAATTAAGATACGAACAATCCGGGACGCGAAGGAGGCCGCCGACACGCTCGATGGAAATATCGGAAAATATGAGGATCGTGCCGGCGTCGCCTTCGTCATCGCGTCTGCAGTTTTCCAACGGTATGGTTACTGGCATAGCATAATAATAACGGGCATTCCCAGGATCGCAGCGATGATACTCATCGATAATTAAGTCGACGTTACCCTGCCGTTTATGCGGAGGTTTCGTGGAAGGATCTGCGATCGTTATACGCAGTCGTGCATGCGAAATTGAGAAATTTAATGCAATTGATAGCTGACTACGTCGATTTGTATATCGCCGCGAGAAGAAAAGGAGAATATATCGCCGTTGGAATTTAAGTGAGATTTATAACGAATAGCGAATGCGTATGCACGCGTGAAACAGAGTGAATAAAAATGTTAGGCCGTATTCAGGCCTCACTTCCATCGATAAAGGCGCGCATTTATTTCTGAGATTCTATATAGTGCGTGTAACAGACTATAATATGCTAAATGCACACGTTTATCGTTGAAAATGGAGTTGAATACATTCTCTCTCCCTTTTTTTTCCCTAAAATTTTTACTTTTAACGCTAACTGTTTTACGTTTATTGTTTCAGTTGGCGCAATGTACGTCTGTATGTTGTATGCCATACTCTTTTTGAAGTTATGGTCGTACATACAAGTGAACATGTGGTGCCGCTTGAGCAACCGAAAGAAAACCACGCAAGGCAGAATGAGACGTCAGCTGTCTTATAATAATCTTCAGTGTAAGTATAAAAACATCACAGCTATATAATACCTTATTAACGCGATATTAACGTTTCATATATTTTATGCGTATCCATCAGATAATAAATAATCTCTATACTTAATATATAATATGCAGTACACACGCGATGCGACATTATTCTTCTATTTTTATGTGAAACGGAATAAAAAAAAAACGGGGGAAAAAAGAGAAAATATTTTCATCGTCACATACTCTGTTTATGATTTACTTTATGTGTACCATCCGCGTGCGACTCACTGCCAAAACTAAAAATAGCGCCACGCACGCGAATATATCGCAGTTCCGACGCACGAGTAACTATTTTTCATGTAGCGCATTGCGCGCCATAGTTTTTCGTTTTTTAAAATATTTTTTTTACGATATTACAACGCTGTAATACAGTCTCATCGAGATGCCGCTAGAGTCACATGTAACGGATTTCCGCTCCGGATGGAAGCCGATCGGCGCGGCGCAAATCTCCATCGTTACGCACGTCGATGTGCATATGCGCTTACCGAGGTAATGCACACATCCAAATAGCGCAAACACGTCCTACGAATCGGTAATCTACTGCACTCGTGGTATTTGCCCACTCCTGAAGGCGCCTCGCGGCGCACCGCACACGTGTGTGCGCGATCCGCTTACGTGTGCGCTCTCATTGCAAGTGTATGTGTTGCACCTATGTGTATGTGTACATGATAGTAAAGGGAAAATAATTTCCACCCAATTTAAACTCTGCCGATCGGACATGCCTATGTTTCCTGTGTCGGACGCGCCGCGGTGTATCGATTATTCTGACCTGACCGGCAAAGTCAAATTATACGGTCTTCCCTCCCCGATAAACTTGCTCACCAGCGCAGTATTAACCCTTTCCCCCGTTCTTCCTCCGTAGTAGCGACGGCGAAACGTCGAACACGTTTACACTGTTGCAGTGCGTTTGCACTTTTAATCATGATTGCTCAATCTTTCTACACGCCATGACTTGTCAGAATTGATTGGTACACATGTTGATCACTATGCTTTCCGATCGCCCTTAGGCGAACGCACCGTGATTTATTATACGATAAAATTGTGCCGTGTGAACGTATCTGAAAGAATTCAGGAATATTTAAATCATTAAAATAGCGATTATTTGAAATTGTCGAATTTGTCTATTTGCTACATTCTAAGTGACTTTAAAAGAGATAAAAAATTGTTTAAACATTGAAATTCGCTTTGACTGAAAATAGGATTATTTCTTTTAATTGAAAAAATTGTTTATTAGACTTTCGAACATAATAAAAAACAATTCTGAGGTAATTGAGACATGTCGATTACTATGGATTCCAATCGCGTTCAAGCGAATGCGTGATTGTTTATATGCCGAAATTGTTTTACATACACATATCTGAAAGAATTCAAGAATACTTAAATTATTAAAATAGTGATTATTCAAAATTGACTTCTTTTTACTCGCTTTATTCTAAATGACTTTGAAACATGAAATATTATTTATTGAAGTATATTAATATTGTTTATCCCCAAATCTGGAGACCAAGAAAAAAGCAATTCTGAGTTAATTAGTACGTCGATCACTATGAATTTCTATTCATATACAACGATGATTTATACAACGAAATTGTTTTACATGGACGTATCTGAAAGAATCATCAAATATGTATTTAAACCATTAAGATAAGGATTATTTGAAATTGTCGACTTTTTTTATTGCTTCATTTTAAATGACTTTGAAAGATAAAAAATTGTTTATTAGACTCTCGAGCATGAGAAAAAGCAATTCTGAGTAGCCCTGCGTGAGCATGTGTACCGCTGTGCTGCCGATTACAAAAATACGAGCGCGCGATAAGCAAGGTATTCACGCTTCATCGAAGCGAGAATTTTCTGCGAGGCGATGAACAATTTTCAACTTTCCTCTAGATTTAACGTTCGCCGGTGTACAGAGACTCCCCATGCTACGTTTAGCACCGAAAATTAAGATGGATATTCTCCGATATGGACATCGGCGTATTCGCGTTCGGCGTTTCGCTCGCAGCTAATTAGCCCGTTATCCGCTCGACCGATCCGCACCGTTCTCTCGCCGGGGAGTGTCCTAATTACGGTGGAAAAAGTGACGTAGTTGGATATAATTATCGAAACCCCGTGTTCGCGCGACACCTCGGCACTCGCTCATCGGCTCATCGCGAGGTAACGCGATGGCGACCGGTCGATCGATCGATAGACAAATGCAATCGACAAAAGCCCACCTCGGGACTCCGTTATTACGACCACGAACTCGTGTAATCTAGCGCGCGCACGGACGCCGTGTAATTTTCGCCCTTTCTACCTGACCCGAACTCCTATGGCACGTCGTATTATTACGTCCTGTAATGACGACGTAGAACCAGCCGTGGAGCCTGTAACGTAGACCTGTATACATATGTATCGCGAAGGTGGTGTACCTTTCACGTTTTTGTTCGTTACGGCTCGATCGATCATGCAAGGAATGGCGCTTCTCATAGTCGCCTACTCTAGAAAGAAGCTGGAACACCTTTCAGCGGCTATATAAAGATGGATCTTATGCTTCAAATCTTATTTAACACGTATTATAACTCTTATAAAAACATCTTGTACTTCAAATGATAAAAAAATTTTCTTTGTAACAATAATGTGTTAGTGACGTTAAGTAGTTAGCAAGAAATTAGTAGAGGAGAAGATGATTATGACATCCCATTTATAGTTTATAATTTTTTGATTATTAATAATTTGATTAATAATCAATATTTAAATTTAAAACTTAACTATTATATTCGTCAAAGTATTATTCAACTAAATCTAGACTCAAAGTTACGAAACATTTATTATATTTAGGATATTATTTATAAAAATATGACGACACTGCATAAATGGCTCGAAGAGAAATAGGAGTGAGATAATATGGTCTCTCCACAAAAATAGATTCAAACGGCGAGTTATTAAGCAAATAAATCATCACTGGAATTTGCCACTTAATTATATCTTCACTGGTTATAATATCACTTTTTTCTCAATTTAATTTAAACGTGTACTTGATTTGAAATAAAAATGGGTGTCGATGTCGTCTTAGATCCGCGTGCCGTCGAGGATGCGAGACAATTTACGAGTCTACAGAATTGCGTGGTCAAAGATCGCAAGCAATCGTATCGATTGGTTAAAGCTTCTTCCTCTTCTTCTTCTTCTTCTTCTTCGGTAGCGTCGGTGCTTAATTTGTGAGAGTTCTCGTTCTTATAAGGATGCTGCCTTTTCTGTCCCTGTGCTACCTCGATATCGATTCCTTTTTTCACCGTTCTTTGCCCACCGCGCCAGTTTCGAGATATATGAACGAGGGTGGTCTTAAGCGCGAGGCATCCCTTGGCACAAAGACGAAATTACGTCGGCCCTTGAGACGCCCTCGGGCCGAGATTGAAAAAAATAGAAATTACACCCGTCGCGAACGGAAGCCTGCTCGATCCCGCCGCGTCCCCATGAGATTTAACCCCCTCCGACGAGAACGATCCCCGACTTTCTTCCATCCTTCTGCGGCCACCCACAGACGTGATAGGAGCCTAAGAAGATCTTGAGAGCACAGATAGGCGGATCTTAAGCAATCGCAGAACGCGAGATTGACCCTCGATCAACGAAAGAAATTTCTGCGAATTCTTTATCTTTCTTGCTATATAGATATCATCTTTTATTCTACTGAGCAGTTTGAAAACAAAATTGAAATAAAATATGAATATTATATATTTTATTTGTAAATGCAAGTGAAAGAATGTGATCCGAAGTGTTGGCAGTCACTTGATTATTTGTTGATAATTTTGGTTTATAGTATTAGGTGTTAAACTTAATTCCTGCCGTTTTTCGTCTCCAAAATTGATTTGTTTCGAAAGGAAATACTTTAATCAAAGTATTACTAATAAAGTATTATTAATTAATAATAAAGTAGAAAATGGAAGAAATTACTTTGATTAAGGTATTCATTCATCTTCCTTCCGAAACAAGTCAATTTTGGAGACGAAAAACGGTAGGAATTAAGTTTAACACCTAATATATACAATTACATAGTTAACGTATAATTATTGCTGTATATTATGCATCGTTGTTAATGATATGGTACTCTAATAAATAAAGCCTTACGATGCACCTGAGTCACTCTCAGTCTGCGAGATAAGGAACGTCATGCTACGTCAAGAATATGTCAACGAACGTAGTGACGAAGTCTGCCTCACTACAAACAAAGGAAGGACCTAGAATATCCTATCGACTGTTCCGTTAACATAATTACTGAACCGAACGAATCAGGTGGTGCTATGTGAATAAATAAACTCGATTATATCTTACTCTGAAAATACAACAAATAAACTAGAATTTATAACTGATGTAACGCTCTTAACAAATTTAATAATACTTTAAATTAAATTCTTTTATTTATCGGAAATAAAAAGTTTTTTTATTAAATGAATTAATACATAGCGCAATTAGAAACTGAGCAATATTAACAGTGATTTGCAATTGTACGTGTAAATGAAATTGATAAAAGATTCGAGCATTTGTATAATTGATCAACTGGAAATGCTCCGAATAAATACAGCAGTTTCTGCAAACCGAACTGCAGGGAGTGGTTTTTAATTAATAATCCGTCGGTGGAAGGTTTACTGCCCAAAGATCACAGGTTTGATCAAACGAATTTACATGGAATATTAACGAATCATGAAATCGTTTCAGAGTGCTTCTGCGTGATCGTGCACTCGTTAATTTCGCGTATTTGACTGTTCTCCGAAATCACATCGCAATTTTCGTTATTCCTACTGTTAAACGTACGCAAATTGCGATATGCTTCATTCAAGACCATTTCCTTTTTGCTCAGAATTGTAATTTCCTTGTTTCTATTTATAGAAATGTAAATATAAGACTTATATTATAATATAAATATCGTATAAAAATGTATTGTCAATCATAATTATTGACGATTATAATTCTTCCTTATATCTTATGGTTTTCATATTGCCCAGAGAATTTACAGTTTCCCGTAAACAATTGCACCGACAACTGACGTTTTGCAAACGATTTTGCCGTCACAGAAGCTTTGTCTTTCTACGTGACGGATGTTGAACAGGAAAGAAAGAAAAAAAATAAACTATATACATTTATTTCGCATTTAGAGAGAGAGAGAGGGAGAGGGAGAGGGAGAGGGAGGGGGAGAGAGAGAGAGAGAGAGAGAGAGAAAGAGGAGGGGGGGGGCAGAACAGGACACGATAAAATAAAAAGAAGCGCGAGGAATTTAATTTGGTCGAATTCTTCTACATTTATTACGAGGATTGCAAAACGACGCCTGTAGTCGGTCGTCGACATGGACGTCGATCGACGTCGCGAGAGCAGGCCGCGACTGGCACAACTCCTGGCATCGCGACGCCAGTCCGGGACGCTGTCGAGTTCGAGCGACAATGCAGAGCGCGGCACCCGGCGCAACCCGGGCTTATTTGAATTCCAGATTGGATTATTCATCGGATTTGGATAATTGAGGGGATTCTATCAGTTACTGGTTCGGCGTTGGGGTGGGATTAGACGCGTAGATGGGAATCCGCGCGCCTAGCGCAACGCTGAGAAATTCCAAGGTTTCCGGCCGAACGGATCGCGCGAGCGAATCAGTTTCGTTGCTTAAGGAGTCTGAGAGACTCGAGAGACGCGTGATTGTACAAGCGAGAGATACAATCGTGAAACTTTTAGGAATTCTCTAGAAGTTTTTACTTTAATTTTACAAATTGCTATCAAGCACACACACACACACACACACAAGCATTTAAATCGTGTTAATGCTGCAAACATGTATTTGTGTAAAGTAGACTCTTGATATTTTCTACGATTTGTATCTTCCAACCTTTCATTCAAAAGCAAAAGCTTCTTTAAACAAATTTTTATATTGCTTATTTCATATTTGTTAGATCTTATATCTTTTTGTGTCACTTTACTCACTGTGTTGCATGTCTGTTTACGAAAGGAAAGCCTTTCATTAGTGAAAAGAAGAAACATTAAAAGATATTTTTTCCTTCGTAATATCACGGATTATTTTATTAATTTTTTTATTAATGTGATCGTAATAATAATAAACTGACGCGAGTTAATAAAATACGCTTTTTCTATCACAGCTTCCGCCATTCAACAGAGTACAAATGATGTCAGCGACTTTGAGCACGAGATAAACGATTGTGGAAATTCGTTAGTACAGTATCCTGACAATCTAAGCTTGGGCGATCTTTATTATTACATATTAGCACCCACTTTGTGCTACGAACTGAATTTTCCCAGAACGCAGCGGATTCGAAAGAGGTGAGTAAACGATTTGAAATTGCGACTTTTGCACTTTAGTATGAAGCTACATTTATGATTTTTGTCAAAAATACAAAAGTTTCCAACTGATGTATCTAATATTAGTCTTTCACGAGTGACTAATATTCTAGAAGTTTTTGACGCTCTTTTCATAAGTATCTGTTTTGAGAGATTGATAACAAAAGCAGAAATATCTTCTCATTACATGAAATTGACAGAGATATTTTTCAAACTTAGATTTCGATTGAAACAAACGAGGAGCGTTTTAAACGAGTAGAATGTAAAAAGGATTAATTTGGAATAATATTATAAGTTCCCTAGTATTCTTAAATGATTTTTATCCATTTAACTTCTTTGAAACCGTGTTTCAATTTACACATGTCTTAAAAATACTAGCAAGTTCACTTCGATTGGAAAGCGAGTCAAGTAGAAACTTGATATTGTCTGAGTTTGGTCGCGCGAGCGCATACATTGCGTGAGGTGTATAAATCCGTCTTTGCTCTCAGATTTCTCGTATAGATTTCGTCATAGTATATCCCCCGATTCTCTCTCATGTCTTATTTTCTTTTCGTAAAGAATGTCAACAAATGTCGAAGTCGCCGGTTTACGAAACTCAGATTCCAGCGAATGAATTCTGTTCTGAGAAGAAAATTTTGAAGAGGAAGAGAATTCATACTTGGTCCGATTTTATCTAGAACATGAATTATTCGTGCGTGTCGAAATTGGACGAAGATTCCGTGAGATTCTATTTTAGAACTCTATACTCATTTGAGAAATTCGATTTAAATTTATTTTCGATATGCCATTTGCGAATAATAATTTAATTATAGGAACGTATGGAATTTTCATGAATGAACGAAGGGATTCTTTGCTATAATTCCTAACTTCAATATGTTTTATAATAATGTTAAATATCAAAAGTAATATGCATACAAATGATTAATAAAACGTGAATTATTATGGGATATTTTCATAAGGAATTTAACATTAAATATCTTTATAAATAATTGATTCAATGTATGTGTATTAAATTTTAAAAACATATGTTAAATTTGGATTACATGAATTATCCATTTAATGTAATTATGCGTTCAGAATATTCTATCTTGAAAGATTATAAATAATACTTGTTGATAAATCAGGCTCGACAAATTAAATTATTACACGCTTAGTATATCTTTTCTCAAGTTTGTCCTTTTGATTTTGTATATTGTAATTCGTTTCCATCGTGTGCTTTCTCCTTTTGCATCGTCTTCTGTGCAGCCACGTTTGTTGAAAAGTGCGTCCAGATTTTACTTGTCGCTAGCAGTTTGCTGAAAACGAAACTCGCGCGGACGACGTGCCGTCGAATAGCAACGTCGTTTCACGCGATAGCACTCAAAAGTCGTATTTCCGATTTTTCGAGAAGCGGTTTATGGTCGATGGAACGGTTGGGAGGGTAACGAGAATGCGGGGATGGAAATTCATGGAACCGGCCGGAAATCGGTTTGCGCCGTCGATAAAATCTGAAAGTAAATAAACGTGTACCAGTATAATGATCAGTGTAATAGAATCACATGGAAACGAATTAGTTTGGATGGTCGATAAATCCGATAAAAGATATATTTTCCTGTTCGTTGTAATATATGTTGTATGGATATATTCCATTGTCACAAAAGACAAAAGTGTTACTCTTTTAAATCAGAATCATATATATTTTATTGTTAAAATATACAGTTTATAATTTTATATATATTGTATGTAACATATATATACAATATGTGTATATATAATTTTTGCGTTTTTCAATGTAATCAAAAATTAAATGATATTTTTGACAATTTTATACGAAACAATTATGTTATCTTAAGAACATATTTTTTAATATTAAGAGAGGATCTTTTGTGTATTTATCTATAATTTATCCAATATAATTTACAGATTTCTTATAAAACGGATATTGGAAGTCGTCGTAGGATGCCAAGTAGTGATGTCACTTTTCCAACAATGGATGATACCTTCCGTAAAGAATTCATTAATCCCCTTTAGCGTGAGTGTTTTACATACTGCATTATTATGACATCTTTTGAACAATATTTTGCGCCATTTAAATTTAATTTCTTAAATTTTGTCTGAAGCGCAACGCCTTACTCGCTTTTATTCTCGAACAATATGGATAATAATCTATTGATGTTTCGGACGATATCTCTTACTTTATTATGAAAGCTAATTATTTATCGTGCTGGTCATAAATAAGTCGGGCTAACCACGATAGTGTAACAGCTGGTAAGATAGGAGCCGAGAGACGAGTAGAAGTGTAATTTGGTTTCGCCAAATAGGTACGATCAATCTTTCGGGTAATACTCTCGCCTGGAAATTCGATACACACAAATATACGGCAAATTCTGTACTACCCTGAACAAACAGGGATCCCCGCGCTACGAATTCCCTCGTGATAAAATACGCAGGAAAAAGGGAGCTGTCGCATGCGCCACAGTTGCTATAATATTGTTGCAAGTTACACCTGTAGGCAATATATCCGTCTGTGACATAACGTTGCATAATATCACGAGCACGATGTAAATTGTATTTCTTAAAATGCTAAACAGATGCGAATGGAAGGAAACTAAGGGTTTCAGCGACACGTACAAAGTATATTTTTTTTTATCGCTTATGCTCGCCCGAAGGTGTTGCAGATATATATTTCACAGTGTTAATAACTTCGTCGCGAGAATTCGCAGTGTCTCCATTCGTCGAGGCAACAAAACATTTACAGCGGAAACGGTATACAGCCAATTTATTTTCGTGACGGTACGGTAACAGTCTCGATAAAAATAAGCGAAAGTGAGAAGAAGAAATGAAGAAACGCGTCAGCGGCATGTCGTTTTAGCTCGTTGCGTCGCAATAATGCTCGAGGCACACCATCAGTTTTTATCTCACACGGAGTTAAATCCTCCGCCTTGATTTGGCAGTTAGATTTAATGCCTCAGGAGGATGACGCGAGCGATATTTTCGCTGCAAATATCTCGCGTTTTCTCTTCCAACCGGACGATGCCCTGTCGGTGTGATAAAGGTTAAATACATTCGCAGAATCTACAGTTATCACCAGTCATTTATTGTGAGTTTTGTTGCTTTCAACAAAATCCTAATTTTGCTTAAATATCTCGGATTAAATTGTCCAATGATTCAACTGTCCAATATTTGTACGCAAAATCGACTGTGTGCAGAGTTTACCTGTAATAATTAGTTTCTTTTTGATGAAGATCAGAGTAAAAGAACTATGGATAAATTTTTTTTTCTGGAACATTAAGTCGTATATTGAATTATTTAATATATTATATTAAACGTCATATCATATTGAACAGAAAACTCACTCTTTTTCTCTTGTCTCTCTGTTTCTCTGACATGATTTTTATTACATTTTCCTATAAAGACAGATAATGAAAATGTGGCATGTACTAAATTAATTTAAAAAAATCGTTAGCGAAGAGGAAGTTAATTAGCCAATTATCAGTCGCTACCGATGTGGTGTAATAAACGAACCGCTTAATTAAATAAGTTGTATCGATAGTGGTATAGGAAAAGGCCAGTTTAAAGCTAATTAGAGGAGTACGCAGAGCGCGTAGTATTGATAAATATATATACTTTTAATTCCGTTCGGATAGCTTTGATCATGCGGTAACGAGAGGTGTGTGGTGTGCGAATATGTGCCGCGACAACGGGAATTTTGTATTGTGTGCTCGTGAGAGACTCATGGATTTAAATGGGACCTTTTATGTGGCTGAGCTTAACCACAACATGGCGGGCGTCCGCGGTTCACCACCTATGCCCATATTTCGTACATAATGTTTTCGAAAATCCGAATCTTGCCATCGATCCGCTAGAGCTGCTAATAATTCAGCCATTCATACTAATACCGACTGCAGCATGTTCGGTAAAATTACGAAAAAAAAATCTTACGCGTACAAACGCGGACTGTCCAATGAATATAAGGTCAATAACGTTTATCGTATATTTACTTTTTTTTTTACGGAGAGTTGATTTCATTTAGTATAGAAGCTGGAAATACAAATTAATGGAAAGACAATTAATTTTTTATTAAATTTAATCAATCCAGGATGCTTTCTGATTTGCAATCATTTGTGCAAATACAACAAAATAAGTTAACAAAGCATGAATCACAAACAAATGTAACGCTTAAAGCATATTCAGACCAGAAATTCCAATTTTAGCTTTGGCATGATTAAAAATTAATTAAAGTGTTTCGCATACATTCCGCATAATTAAAATAACAATAATAAAACAGATATAAATAAATATGTCAATAATGTTTCTGTTTGCTAGTTTATGTAAACACAAATATACCAATAATGTTTCTGTCTGCTAGTTTATGTAAACACAATTAGCAAATAACATTAACTTTTTTAAACGAAACATGCTCATATCATTATCGAAGAGCAATCTCTTTGATGCGTCTGCCGTCAATTTGGTTTGCGTATTCGCGTATTATTTACAGTCGGATGCATTGTTGCAGTGCTTTGCGGGAGGTAGCAACTATTCCTTTCCATAACGGTAGCGCTAATCGGAACCTCCATATTCGCGATTAGGCAATCCAACGGTATGTTTCCTCCTTGACGTCCCTTCGCCGCGTTCGGGGTTATCCCGCGCAGGATTATTAAGCGTTTCCATCTCGGGAATCAGGATCGACGCGAGCCACTCAGCAGGGAACCGGTCCTGGGAATCCGACCGCATGATTTCGCGTCGCGGACAAATTGCTTCTGCAAATCGTTCGACGCCCTCTCTGCTGCGCTATCCGCTTCTCCCTCGTTCTCCTTTCAGTTCCCAAAGAGACTCGAAGGAAACGCTTTGCCAGGACGCACGCTAGAAATACCGAGGCGATGGTGGCGTTTCTCCTCCTTCTCACCCTTCTAGTTCCCGCGATGGTAGCATTCGAGATCGCGGTATCGACCGAACGCAAAGTAATTGCCATTGCTGCTAGGTAGTTGCAGAGAAGTTAATGCCAGAATAGGGGCCGGACGACAAACTACCCCTTCGACCGTTTCGATTCTCCTCTAGTTCGATCGCTTCCACGCTGATCGTTCCATGCGCCATTCTTTCTTCGTTCAGCGACAAATTGGATCTGATAATTGCGAGTCGCGATTACGAAAGTCACGTCGTCGATCGAGCGTCCAGCTGGCGCTGAGAGACGACGTTCGCTTCCCTCGATTTAGCTCGGCCTGGTCTATCACTGTCGCTCGCGGATGTTGGCGGGGATGAGGAAAGAAAGACGGAGAGAGAGAGAGAGAGAGAGAGAGAGAGAGAGAGAGATTAAGAAATCTACGTAGATATTGCTTCCTTCGGATCGTGAGTCGCGAAAGGAGAAAATTGATAACTGCGGATGATGCTTGTCGGAGGGTAATCACTTTTTACTGGCGTGCTCCAGGTTGAGCCTCGTTATTCTTACAGGGCAGAATGAATGGATAAGAAGGTCGGGCACGAGCCGCGCCGCGCGCGACCGGAAATCCTCGCGATTTCCTCTGGCAAGTGGGCGATTAACCCCTCCAGTGCTGAGAAATCCATCGTGCAGCGCTTGCTTAGTGACAGTCTGTACTTCTGCACGAATACATTTTTACGAATAATATCGCTCGCTTCAATTACGCTAAATGTAACTGTCGGTCTCTTATTTAGTCTTGCTTACGATCTCGTTTCTACATTATTCCTTCTTTTCATTTAATCCTTTTATTTTGTACTATCATCTTATAGTTTTGTTTTACATCTGATCTGTCATGCAATTCAATGTTGTTAAGTATCACGAATGATTATGTCACGAAAGTACAGAGAAACCATTGTTTCTTTGTGGCTTCTGCCTATAGAATTTTGCGGCTTCTCGCTTTGCGGATCGATTGAGCGATCGAGAGGAGTGGCAGAGAGGGTGCATCGTGCTCTGGCTTATCGGCTCACGGCGTACTGCAGCTTAAAGGGATGAGCGTTTAAAGGATTTTCGGGAATACGTCGAAAGTGGTTATACTGCCTTGAGAAGCATGCGGCTTTATGGTGGTTACGACATATGGAACATATGAAACGTATGAAATGAATCGATTTTCTAATCGCATATAATACATATTTTGTTATCATATATACAGACATAATTTTATGTAATATAATCTATTAATTATAATATGTGTAATTTAATCTATTAATTATAATAGGTGTAATTTAATTATGTGTAAATTAATCTATTACATTTTATAAAAATATGAAAGCGGAAGGGAGAAGAGAAGGGAGAGGGAGTTTTTTTGAGAAAAAAATTGTTTATAGAAAATTTCATAAATACAGTCCGTTTGTGGGACTGTTAATTAAAAAACAATCTTATTTATTTTTTTCGCGAATTTAATGTTCTTTTATCTATCTAGTTTGTGTAATATAGGTTAACTCCGGTATATACGCCGGATCTATCAAAAACTTAATTTATTAAGTATTATTTACTATGTTTAAAATAAACGAACTATATCAGTAAAAACTTTGTACTGTCTACTACTATGAAAAAAATATTAGAAATCCGAAATATTTAGTTTTCGTATTAAAAAATAAACTTTTTGAAATCTTGCATTTTTGCTATATATAGATAATGGATGGGATATATGGCAAAAATGCAAGGGTTTCAACAAACTAAACAAAGAATACAAAAACAAAGCACATGTATTTTGCTATACAACATGCTTTACTATTCCTCTACACGTATGTATCACGAAATAACCACTAGGTCTTTTACACGCCTTACAGTAATCATTTTATGTAGATTATAATTTATGATGATGCTACTTGTTACACACACAGTGACAAATCGATTCAACTCACAATAATTTCATTAATATTAACAGTAAGAAGCTGAAAAATTATAACTCAATACTAATATAACATAAAGGCATGTAACAGAGTTGCGAGAAAATTACCCCCACTCTTTCTATTTTTTCTGACTTCCGCGGCGTATATACCGGAGTTACCCTAATTTATTAATTATGCGTAACGTAATCTTACATTTTATAAAAA